TTTTCAAACTTGGTTTTTACTTTTGGGAACACTTCGTTTTTGGACCTCGGTTTTTCAAAACGGGTTTCAGCTGGCTAGACTTTAGCTGGGTGATAATCGATTATCACCTTAGTGACAATCGACTATCAGCCACTGCAGCTTTGAACTTCCAAGTTCTGAAGCACGCAATAATCGATTATCAGCTTTGCAATAATCGATTATCAGCCTTTGCAGCCAAAACCCAGAATCTTCAGAGAGGACCAATAATCGATTATCACTTGTTGACAATCGATTATCTGGGTTACCGTTGTCCTCCAACGGATAGAATTTTAAATTTTTGGACAGGGAATCTTTGGATAATCGATTATCATGGTTTGACAATCGACTATCAGCCTGTGTCCCTGAAAAATTTGTCTTCATCCTGTTGGAAATTCTTGCAACGGGTTTATCCCATTTTGGGCTATAAAATGGCACCCAAATCCTCTCTTTTAACACACAATTCTTCAATATTTCAATACTCTTTCATTGCATAAGCATTCCCATTTTTCTTAGCTATTTGAGAGCTAATTCTTGAAGAAATTGTCGTGTTCTTGAGCGTTTACTAGTTCACTCATATCTACTCTTTGTGAGAGTTTTATTCCTGAGTGTTTAAGTGTTTTCATACACTTTAAGGGAGTTTGTCCCCTTGTTGTAAACTCGAAGGAAGTTCCTTGTTCCTTCGTGAGAAGTCTTGGAGTGCGGTATCTCCGAGCAAAGGTGTTGAGGCTCGTGTGACTCGGGTTCTCAAGTTGTATCGGTTTGTTAAGCACCCTTAAGCATAACGGAGTTAGTGTTGCTCGAGAGAGTCTCTCGGGGGGGGCTGGATTAGCCACACGTTGTGGTGAACCAGGATAAAATCCGGTGTGCTCCTTCTTTACGCTCTTTACTTTAACGCTCTCGTTTTAATTTCCTGTGATTTTGTTTCAAATGCTATTCACCCCCCCTCTAGCGTTGGGCCTTTATTTTAACACGGTTTTGAGTCGGTTTAGATACAGTTTGCTTTTAAATTGGTTCGTATAGATTTCAGTTCAGATACAATTTGAATTAGATATATTTCGGTTTCGGATCTAGTTCAGTTCAGATATATTTCGGTTTCGGATCAAATATATTTTGGATAAATATTATTTTCTAATTAAAATTTAATTATCCATGTTTTTTATGTTTTATCACATTTGACAATCTATCATCAATTCAATACCTCATATTATTTTACATTTTTTGTAATTAAATTATCTCTACCCTAAACAATCTTCCCTTTTTGACTTTTTAGCGTATATTTTATAAATTCGGACTACAAATTATAAAAAAATATATATTTAATTATGATTTAAATTTAATATAATTAAATTTATTTTAAAATTTAGTTTTGATAAATCAAATTTTTCTCACATCTACAAATATATTTATGTTTATAAATGAAAAGATAAAAGATAAATTCAAATAGCGTTACGTTCCAACTAAATACAATTTGGTAAAAATTGAGTGAAATTGGATGAAATTAAGTGAATTTTATTCAATTGAGTGAAAAATTTATAAATTATTTGAATGTATTTGACTCAAATTAGATAAAATTAAATTGAATAGAGTCAAATATAATTAATTTTACACCTAAATGTAATGGTGCAGATCAAATTTGAAAATGATAACACTAAATCCTGTCGCTAGAGAGTCTTTTAAAAATGCTAATACTAACATCTAATGTTAGAGGTGGCAATCGGATCAACCGGATTAGTTTCGGGTTGGATTTTTTCGGCTCGGATATCTTTCGGTTATATGTTATAATCGGTTCAGTTCGGATCGGATCGGTTAAATTTCGGTTCGGATTTGATTCGGTTCAATAAATTTTTCGGTTTGGTTTGGTTTCGAATCGGTTCAGATACGATTCGGTTATAAATCGGTTCGGATACAGTTTGTGTGGGATATATTTCGGTTTCGGGTTTAGTTCGGTTCGGATATACTTCAGTTTCGGATCAAATATATTTTGGATATACTAGTATTTCTACCCGTGCCACGCACGGGATGGAACCAAATTTTTGTTGATTTTTTGAATTATCTTCAATGTAATATTTTTTAAATGAGTATGGAAATATATGTAATGCGTTCTTTAATTCTGTAGACATTATAATTAATTTGGAATTTAATAATTAGTTATAAAAATGCTTATATATAAATTCAAAAGTAAAGACCTCAAAGTCTTTTTAAAATTCATATTTTGTTTGAAAGCCTTTGGGGAATATGACATTTTGGTGTGGTTGTAAGGATTTTCATTACTCTCTCCGTCCCACTGTCTTTGTCCACTTACCTTCTGGCACACCATCCAATGCACTTCTTTAATCCATTTTATCTTGTAATTTGTATATATTAAAAAATCATAGAAATTATATATTAATAATCTATATGTTAAGACAAATCAAACAAGATCACACATATATTTAGGCTTACACATTGAGAGAATTTGATGAGTCAACGTGCTTAGATGAACAGTTCCAAAAGTCAAAAGTGGACAAAGACAGTGGGACGAAGGTAGTATTATTTAGAACTAATACTTTTAACCATATCTTAGTTTTCACTCGTGAAACAATGACATAAAGTCAACTAAGAGTGAACTTCAACCCAGTTAAAAATAATCTAACAAATGATAATATTTGACATTGACTTTTATCTATAGTCATAACAAACTGTAAAGCGTTCATCGTCGTATATCTTCCTCTGGTTTTCTTTCATTGTAGATATATAGTACTCCATCTTTCCCAAAACTATCTTCCCACTTCTTCATTTTTAATGTTATAAAATTACCTTCCCACAACCCAAAAAGGGTGTAAAATGGCAATCCTACCCTTACAACATCTATCCTCAACATTCCCACTCTGTCGACATTCCTTTTCCCTCTTATCTACGTCTCTCTTTCAATTCCCCTCCTCAAAACCTAGATCTAATCCAGGGATCAAAGTTGCAACCATCGTCGTTCTTGAGATCGTCTCATCATCACCAGCTCCCCCTCCACACTTAAAATCTCGGCATCTCAACATCTCCACTCGGCATCTAGGGATTAGGATTGCAGCAAAGACGCTGGCAGGAGTAGTAAGGTCGCTGGTATGTGATTCGAAGTTTATAAAGATTCACAGAATAGGAGATGATGATGAGCTTCATTAGCTGCTACCTTCAATCGGAAATTAGCCTAGGCATGTTTTTTCAATAGCCGTCTAGAGTTTTTTTCAATTAGTCTTTTTCCGATTTGTTTTTCAATCTGTTACTCATCAATTCTTTTCTTATTTGGCCATATTTACATGCCACTTCATTAGCAGCTGTGCTTTTCGATCAGGCCAGACATGTTAATTGTGGGTATGTCAGTCCTTTATCGTCGGCGAGCAGGCCGCCCGACCACCGTTTACACTGTCCAATTACTGGAAAAGATAGAAAACTTTTATGTTTTCGGGTTTAGATGGAGGGACAATTTTGGAAGTCAAATCCATAGTAATCAACCCCTTAAAATAGGTTTTCGTCAATCTGGGAAGTTGGATTTAGGACTGAGGGAGTATTTAAGATCATATGACAACTTTTATTTGTCACAATTCAACTCCTCTACCAAGATATATTATTTTAAAATCTATTAAGTGCATTGTCATCTCGGAATGGCATATCACTAAACTCTTATAAAGATCATCTATTTGAATTAAGTAGCTTTTAAATCTCAATCAAACATAAAGTTTTTAGATCTTTTTGAAAAATAATAAATTCTACAAAAATGGTTAAAATGGGACTAAATCATTATATTTTAACCCATATCTCAAGTCTAAAGTTTTGTATATATATCATACGGGGTACATTTCATATTGATCTTTATATAAATAAAAAAAATTACCTTTTTATAGAAAGCCCTTGTTTTTGTAATTTCATCAATCAAATAAAGTCCCATATCAACCAAGAGCTCCCATGATTTTTCCCAAACAACTTAAGAACGACT